CCTCCGCGCGCGCTGTTCGTGCTCCGGGCACGGTGGGGAAGGCGGTGGTGCTCGCGGCGGGCTGGTGCTGCGCCCCCGTGCTCCGCTTGTGTGGGGCGCGCGTTGGCGCGTCGCCTCCCAGATCTGGCGCGGTGGCCCTGCCTGCGGTCCCTCCATCGGCGTGTGTGGCGAGCGGGCGATCCCTCGGCCGTGGGGGCGGCGTCTTCCTGTGGCGGACTCATCTGCCTCGGCTGTGGGCTGCCCCGCGCGGGCCTGGGTGTGCGGTGCCATCGGCGGCGGATCTGACGGTCTTTGCTCTCTTGTGAGCTGGATCTCGGAATTGGGGTGGGTGGGCGCGCTGGGGTTCTACGCACGAGGTGTGCGGCGGGCTAGGCGTGAAGCAGGTGTGGTTCTCGCCCGTCCCCGTTTCTCCCCCGGTCTGGAGGCTTCGCATGGCGCGACAGTCTCTGTTCGTGGGTTGGCAGCGAGTGCTTCTTCTGCTCTGTGGGTTTGGCTCTTGGAGGACTAGCAGGCTATAGGTTTTGGGGGCGCGCACACTGCCGGCGTAATGCCGGGCTCCGATTTCGGTCGTAGCCAACGACGGCGGTGCCTGTGGGCGTCGTATCCTTGTTGAAGGCGTCATGGTGCGGTGCTCGTCTTCACTCCTGTCAGCTCCAGAGGAAACTTTGGATCCCGGTCTCCGGGATCAGGTGATGGTGGCGCTCAACGCCACATTCCCTGCATGGGCTTCGTCTTTGAGCTTGCCTTGGCTAGGGTGACCAGTGGCTTGAGGTGGTTTTATTGGTGGTTCGTGGGGGCGATGATGACGGAGAAGTGGTGCTCTGTCTTCGTGATCTTGGCTCAGCCATGCCCTGAAGTGGGGCTGATTCTTTCGTCGAAAGCCGGGTTAGCGAGGTGTGGTCTTGTAATGGATTTCCTCGTTCCCACCTCTCCCCTTTCGGGGGGTTGTTGGGTGGCGACCAGACGACCATTGTTCAAGGCGCTTCGCCTTGTTTGGTCAGATGAAGATGAAAGTTGGCGTCCTCCTCCAGGCTGGTTATGCTGATGAGTTTGAGGTGGTGGTGGTGCGGCCGGTTTGAGGTCGATGGTGGTTGGTGCCCCACTTTGGCGGTGTTCATCTTGTGATCTTGCTCCTGCGCTCTTCGGTGTGTCTCTGCTTGGCGATGTCAAGCGACTTCGTCGGTGTGCACACAGGTGTCGTGGCGTCGTCTCGGCCTCGCGCAACCTTTTGAATGTGCCCCGCAGCGCAGGTGGTGTTGCGGCGTTGTGCAGTCTCGGATACGCAAAGCCTTTTGATTGCGTCGATGGTACAGTGTCATCGGCTTGTCTGCTTGGCGATGCCGACTTTGCCTGCGGTACACAAGTGCCGTGACGCCGTCTCGGCCTCGCATGACCTTTCGAAGGCACCCCCGACATAGATGGTGTCGTGGCGTTGTGCAGTCTCGGCTATGTTAGGCCTCAGATTGCACCGATGGTGCAGTGTCATGGCTTGGTCTTGGCTGGCCAATATCGTTCGATCTCACTGGTGGTGCTTTGTCTTGTGTCAGGGCGTGTCTTCCCTCTTTGTTCTCACTTGTTTATATGTTGTGGTGTGTGTTGTTTTTGCTTTATCTCTTCTCCAACTGTGCCCCCTGTAATTCTGGTTCACTTGAACCCATCCTGCAAAAGGCTACGAAGCCTTATAGGCAAATGAATACAATTCAAGTGGGGGAGTTCTCTCCCCCCGGTGAAAATTCAAAATAAAAAATAAAAAAAATTCACCCTGGATGTTCACCATCATTCCAGCATTTTTGTCATCCAAATCTGAGGAATCAATGAACTCTTTATATATGAATTATACAAGGTACTTGTTCGCATACTCATCATCAGACGAATCCATCCTTTGCCTACAAATGAGCAAAATAAAAAGAAACTACTCAGACATTTCATCGAACACATAAAGTGCGAGGTGTATGTACAGAGGAGTTGGACGTATCAGGGTAGCGTCCGGTGGCGGCATGGACGACGGTGTTGTCGGTTGGGGATGACGACTGAGCTAGGGCAGCGACGGAGCTATGGTAGTGGTTGTGTGGACCAGGCAGAAAAGTAGAGAGGAATAGGCCGGGTTGGGCTAGGACAGGGGTGACTCGAAGAGATTTGGGATAGACCCCTCCTGTTAGTACGACGTGGCAGACACGCCCGAGCGTCCCCGTATCTAATCCGCCCCAGATATGGGTTGGAGGGGTGCCGGACAACCCAAATTCATATTGCCGGTTTATGGCGTCCCGTTGGGCAGCAATTTTGTCACCGACAGTGACCAGGTCGTCTGCCAGGACGTACTAGGAAGGGGGAATTTTGAGGGGTACAATTGTAGATGCTCTAATGTACAGAAAGACTAATGCCCACACGTGTGGCAGTTTTGCAACTCGCCCACACGCGTGGATGACCGTCCAGTCGAGTTTGCACGAATCTTGACACATTGAGGCAGAATCCGCGTGCCACGTAGAACAGGGCTGGTGTGTGGGCGTTGGAGAGTTTGCCCACACGCCCGCAACACACGGTTTGGCAGCTGCGCTGTGTGGCGAACTAGTTTATGCCCACACAGCCAACACCTAGTCCATGCGTGTGTGGGCGAACTGATTTCGCCCACACGACATCCGTACGTTGTTGGATGAAAAATGCAGTACGCGTACATGGCAACTAGGTAAACACACATGGCAACTATGATTCGTTGCAAGACGGCAACTACAGTTGCGCGTACTTGGCAACCAGATAAACACGCATGGCAACTGTGATTAACCATACATGGCAACTATGGTTGGACCACACGTGGCAACTAGGTAAACACACATGGCAACTACTGTTTGACCATATGTGGCAAGTAGTTAATCACACACGGCAACTATGGTTTGATTACATGCGGCAACTACCATAAATTAGACATGATAACTATAGTTAACCAAAACAGATAGAGTTGCCATGCTTTTACAACTACATTTGCTATCCCTGTATAACTACATTTGCCATCCCGGATGGCAACTAAATCGTCATCCCGCGGGAGTACCTAACGTAGCTGCGTCAGGACGTGTGAGAATTTTTGCTTCGTGCCACACGCACGGGATGGAGATGAGTAATACTTTATTGGGCGTGTAGCATGAAATAGCTGCGCCCACATGTGTGGGCAATTCTAATATTCATCCACACATAACCCGTATAGGCTGCCTCCTGCTCACGCCACACACCGTGTGTGGGCGAATGGCTAGTATGCCACACGTGTGGTAGTTAGCCGCGTCCCTTATGTATTAGGCGATGAGAGAAGTTGCCGGACCTCTTTAAACAACATTAGTCATCAAAACCTTAATCACCACATTCCCTCTCTCCCGGTTCACACCTTGGAACGTGAGTCATGGATGGTTCATTGCCTTGAAAGTTAAATCCATTCGTGAAAATTCCAAGTTATCCACATAGTCTTGCTTCCAAATTATCCACACAATGCATGCATAAACTTTTAGCTGTAGACTGTGAAAATAAGGCTGTGAAATTCACGAGATGCCTACATAATGCTAACATTGCTAAGAGAAATTGCAATTGAAGGCATTAGCTTTTCAATGCGTTATGTTCCACACTTGTGCAGGACACGTGCGCGTGTGTGTGTTTATATATATTCATTTTCAACGTTTTTAACTCTTTGTATCTGTAAGAAATATACTTACATATAAATATTCTTTTTTTTGCTGGTTAGTATGTGAGAATAATCCTAGGTAGGAAGAATAGCAACAGAGCTTTTGTTACTTTAGCAACCAAAGGTTGGGTTAGAAGACCAACAAGAAACAACTTCCTAGATTTGAAGCGTCTTGGTGCGTCTGAGGCTTTGGGGGTTGCTATGAGACCCGCTTGTAAGGGGTGTATGTTTCTGGTTGAGGGTAAAACACACCTAGCTGCAATGGATCGGCCGAATTTTCTGGTTTTGAGAAGGCATTGCCTGGTTTTTGTTTTTGCTATTTTATATTTTTAATGGTTTAAATAATTTATTATTATTATGTTTGTGAATATTTTTTACAATTCATAAACATTTTTAAAAGCATGATCATTTTCTAAAATCCACACACATTTTTAAATTCCTGAACATTTTTTTAAATCTACAAAAATATATATTAAATTTACGAACATTTTTGTAAATTCATTGTTTTTCAATTCACAACATTTTGTAAAATCCAAGATTTTTTAAATTCGCGTTATAGAACTTTTTCAAATAAAAACACGATAGTAGATTTTCTGATCTAGAACCTAAGCGAGCAAGAACTTCATTGTTTTGCCCATTTGAGCATTATAACAGCAATTCCATAGTTTTAACATGAAAAAAGCATCGCTAGCACATAATTAAAACTTAAGCCAACATATTAAACCAAAACGAAATAACCGAACGTAATAATCTGCTAGAGAGAAAAAGTTAATCCCATAGGTGAAGAACGCACGCTAGCCTCTATCACAATACTACTCCGGCAAAATTAGACAGAGAACTATTACAAGACTTTTGTTTAGGGGCAAAAAATTTGAAGCAGTACAGAGAGAGTGAGAGCAGCAGCAGCAGCAGCAAAAATCAGCTCATGAGACGACGAACACCCTGAGCTCCCCCCTGTCCCCTCGGGTGATGCGGGTGTCGTCGTCGAGGTACGTCACGTCGAACTCGCCGCTCCCGGTGTTGGACGCCGGCGGCCGGAGGCTATCCGGGAGGCGGGGCACCTCCAGCAGAGGCAGCTGGGACAGGTTCCCTTTGGTCTTCACCGTCGTCTTGTCGAAATTGATCTTGATACTCGCGATTCCTGGCAGTGGCAGCCATCAGAATTCAGGAAACACCCATCAATCAAGCAAATAATGCGTGCAGAATCGACAGGTGTCTCACCGGTGATCTCAAACTTGTGTGCCAGCGTGGCCGTGGCCTCCACCGGCGGCAGCGGCCACGGCGCGCCGAGCTCGAGCTCCACGATGTTGTCGAAGTCCTGGCTCACCACGTCGATCCTCTGGAACACCTGACGAGCACAAGCACAATTGGGAATGGAGTTCCGCTTCCGCGTCACGTTTCTGAAACCATTCTCGGTGCGGCTGAGCTGAGCTCAAGATTTGGTGTCGAGTCCTGACCTGGCCGAGGGTGATGGGGAGGAGGCGACCGGTGGGCGGGCCGGGGCGGCTGCCGCCGAGCGTCCGCGACGAGAAGGCGCTGCTGTAGACCAGCCTCCACCGTCCCTGCAGCTTGTCGAGGTCCTTGGCGAGGTCCACGGGGGCCGGCGCCGCCGCCTCCAGCTGCCTCGCCGCCGCGTCCGCCCGGTCCAGGTCCTCCTGGCTCGCCGCGAGGCCCCGGTTCAGCCCGGCGACCGCGCTCTGCGTCCACGAACCATGCGAGGATCGGTCAAGCGAGCGAGCGGCTACGAAATGTCCGGTCAGTCAGATGCTGGAATATTCTTATCGGCCACTCACCAGCAGCTTGATTTTCAGCGAGGGGATGTCGCCGGCGCCGGCGCCCGTGTCCGAGTAGTCCACCGCCGACGACGGTGCGGCCACCGCGCGGATGGACAGCTGCTGTCTCTTCCCTCCGCTGGCGCTCCTCCTGCCGCTGCTTGCCCGCCATAGGTTCCTGCGCTTGCTGCTCGCGGGAGGACTAGGCAGAGGACGAGTGGAGGTAGAGGTGCAGCAAGATGACCACGACGGCGATGCCATGGCCATGGGCACCGTCCGTGAAGGCGAAACAGTCAATCAATCGAGGAGAGCAAAGGGAAAGGAAATTTTCAATTGGGCGCCGACGGGCAAGAGGTCAGAGACGAGCACGAGAAGCTGCTCTTGTGTTCTCAAAGAAAAGAAAGGAAGGGGGCAGCTTCCCTGCGGTGAGGAATTTTAGTGGTGGGTGACCGAGCTGGTCACTTGGCCGCGAAGAGGAGTGGCGCAGGTTGGGACGCGTAGAGGGGTGACAACTTGGCAGCCTACGGTTACGCTTTTGTCAGCCCGGTGGCACCTCCGGAGCCGAGTGGCCGTTCTAGGTGGCAGAGGTCGTCGTGGCGCCAACGTTTCGTATTTTCTCCTTTTCTTTCAACGAACTAGAGACCTTTATTAATCTCTAGAGTTACTAAGCTACCACGAATTGAGAGCTCCTGGTGAATCGTGAGATTGGATGTCGGTTGTGAGCCTGTGACGGTGCGTCTCGGTGGTCAAACATATATCAATGTGCTTAGGTGAGTCGTGGCAGGGGCGAGGGGTGCTGTACCTATACGTGTGTCTTCGAGGCTGGGAAGGGCTCCGCATGCCTCGCATATCCTCTTTCCTTTCTTTCTTTGAAATAGCAACCCTCACCGCCACCTTCAAATCCATCCGCTTCCCCACTAATGGCCGCCGCTGACCTGCCCTAGCACGATTCACCTCCGCCGATTGCTCGCCGCCGTCTCGACCTTCGACCTAGCAATCGCCCTCGCTGTGAATCCTAGCCCCTGCGGACTTCCCAGGCGAGCCCTAGGCATGAGCGATGGCGCCGCCTCCAGTTCTCCCCCACCCAACCCTTTTTCTTTTCTCCCGCCGTCGCCTTCTCCTCACTTCGCCTCTCCACAACGCTACATACTCCAGGCGTAGACAAAAAGACGAGAGAAGCACCGGGGATGCGTGTATGACGATTGGCGACCCTAACCCAGAATTTGGCACCACCTGCGGGTATGTAGGTTGCAACGGCGGCGACAAGCAAGAGGAAGGGTGGCGACCAGCGGCATAGACGATGGGCGTCCTGGAACTTTACATTCTCAGCACAATCCTTGTGTTTCGTGTCCCCATCAACATTACCATCCAAAACTTCTGTGGCCACCGTACATGTACCAGGTTTGTCCGCTCTCTCTTTACTTTTTTTTTCCATGTGATTCCACAAGGAACGTATTTGTTTCCATTGAGATGTGCTACTAGCTGGTTAAATGGACTTACATTAGGATTGGTTACTCGATCCCAAGAGGCAAGACATATTGCACCAACAACCAAGGTGTGATTGAATTAGCTGCCAGATTTCTTCCTCAGTTTTGTTGTATGAGTTATGTGTAAAATTTGTTGTCTAGTGTAGTGCTCGATGTTCCGTATATAGTATATACCATTGTATTTTTTGCCTCAAGCAACATGACTGAAATTAGTTCTGTATTCTGCAGGAAATACGATATTTCAGTGTTGGTAATTATATGGTCCTAGCCTTGATTGACAGACTAATTAGCAGAGTGCTATCAAGATACAGTTTGTACCATAATCTCCTTTTTTGTGGTTAAATGATATGGCAGATTAATTGTCCAAGAAATTTATTTTGTACTAATCTCAGAACTATGTTGCTTACTTGTTGGCTGTTTTGGGGGGTCGATGAAGGATTGAATTTGCTCGCCGGTTTGAGGGTGGAGGGTGAGGACTGCTACCCTGCTTGCAACCACATGATAACACACATCGTTCATGTCAGTCAATCACGTGATGTTTCTTGGGCATTTTCCCCTCCGCCTACATCTCTTTTACCTCAAGAATTCTGAGAAATAAACTCTACTTTTCTCCTTTTTTTTTCCTTAACTAACATATTTTATATGATGCTCAATTTTGTACTTGATGATTAATCTAGCTTTATAGATATCAAGATTGAGGCCACCGAGCATTGGTTCTCAAGGGAATTTCAAGAGTTATTTGTTGTTGATGCCTGATAGTGAATGAAAGCAGTTCCATTCTAGCTCTTATTTGAAGTCAGGGGGTCAAGATTATATGCTGGTGGAGATCCAATATTTCCAGATAATTTGTTTAGGGTACTTCTCTTTCTTGATACCAATAAATGTCATATGCGCAGCACTGATCTAGCTGAGTATTTTATGTCATACTTCTTTTGTTGTATTATAATTTTCTAAATTTATCTTGTTAAAAGTTAATCATGTGTATATTCTTATACACTATCATCTGACATACGAATCTGTCACCCGCAAAAAAAGGTCATACACATATGTCATCAAGAAACAATATTAACCTAATCAGAGATGAGATATGGATGATTCTAAGAAATTTGGCCATTTTTGATATTGACATATTGTTATTCACTAAAAACACATTTTATAATATCATTAGAAAGAAATAAGTGTATATACTTGATATTTCAACGATGTCTCCAGTGGTAACTAGAAACTTTTGCCAGCACACAACCTGGACCGTTCTCTGCTTGCTTAGTGAAATCATTCCTCAGTATGGAATCATAACTCTAAACGTCAATGAAGTGAATACTGATGAGGACACATAGAGTTATCTGAAAATTTTATCATCTATTTGTCAATCATGGAAGTGAAATGAAGGCCCACAAGGGGACTTCATTTTTGACATTTATAGTTATGTATCCTTATGGATAGGTGACCCTTTGGTATAACCATAGATGATTTCTACAAATTGATTAGACATGGTTAATCCAGGCATTTTCATGAGTGCAATGCTTCTTCACCAAATCAATGTGTTAGACCGTTAGTGTAGTGGAGTAGTCACGACAGATGTCCTAGTGTGAGGACTTAGTCGTGAGGCCAATACATCTATGTGGTTGCTTGAGAGGGGTTGATCGGGACGAGAGACGCGAGGCGGATCAACACACAAGACAAGGATTTAGACAGCTTCGGGCCCCGGGAAACATTATCCGGTAATAGCCCTACATGTTGTTTGTGGCTAGGTCTCATTATGCTCATGAGGGATACGCCGCATAATCGGCTCTCCTCTAGTTGTGTCTAGCCTTAACGATTATTTTCCTGCCCCTCTTGGGGTGCCCCGCCCCTCCTTATATAAGTTGAAGGGGCGGGTTACATGTAGAGTCAAACTCGGATTAGGACTTAACCTATTTTGACATCTTACCATGGGCTTCTCACCATGGGCTTCTTAATGTCTTGGGCTTCTTAACTGTCTGGCTTAACTGTCTGCCGACTTAACTGTCTGGCTTAACTGTTTGGCTTAACTGTCTGCCGGCTTACTCTGCTTAATTGTCTGCCGGCTTACCCTGCTTAATTGTCTGTCGGCTTACCCTGCTAAACTGTCTGCTGGCTTACAATGCTTAACTGTCCGCCGGCTTATAATCTGCCGGGTCACCAATGAAACACCAAGTCCCAGCCGGGTCATATCTCTAGCTGTGTCACACCGTGGGGTATATCCCTGACATTAGGCCCCAGTTTAAATTGGATTCATCCATGTTAAACTGATCCTGTAAAACAAACACAAGAACAATTTTGACAGAATATGCTCTAGGTTAAGAACTCTTGTAAGACGACACCTGATCATTCTTAGCTCCTTGGTATTTCCTTCTTCTAGAAAATCCGAGTCAATAGGTCAGCTTCATAATCAATTTGCTGACATTGGTTTCTTACAGAAAAAATATTGGTCATGAAATACTCATCTGATTTTCAGCCAACTTGAAGATGTAGAACTTGCCGGTTTATCATTGCCAAAATATTCGGTTTGTAAATATTGATAGCACCGGTCATAATTGTTGATAACATCAAACTTGAAAATGTACCTCCCTTATATGTAGCCCCCAAGTATCGGGTTGTCATGCTTGCAGCAACCTGGGACTTGTAATTGCCTTTAAGCTCATAGAAAACTTTAACCAGCGTAACCCCCAAGGGACGGGTCATTATGCAATAATGAGCAGGGACTTTGTAAATATGATCATGTATATTCGAGTAGCGACGTGTAGCCTCCAAGGGCTGGCTCAGTAAGATAACTGAGATGGGACTTTTGTATATAATTCATTGATAATAACATCATATGATGTAATCTCCACTATGGGGCTTGAACCCACGTCCACAAGGTTAAGAGCTTTATACTCTACCAACTGAGTAGTGGACCTTTCAATATAATGGATTAAGGCTTGTGTACCTTGAATTTTTGACAGGAGCAATTGGTAGCCCCCAAGGGCCAACACATTATGATGTGATGAGTCGGGTCTTTAATAAGTTGAGAAAAAAAATGACTTTGCATTAGCCCCCAAGTACCATGGTGCATGCTGGCAGTGACATGGGACTTGCATATTTGACGTAATCTCAACTTGAATAATGTAGCTCCCAAGTGCCGGGTCGTAAGCCTGCAGTGACTCGAGACTATTCCCCCCATAGTAAAATAAATCATATCCATTGATAAAATAATAGCCATTGCACTGAAGCGACTTTTAAAGACCTCCAACATAATATTGGTTATGATAACCATAATAAAAATCCAGCCATGTTGGCTATTAAAGATTTGAATAATATAATCCGGTTTGAAAACCGGTTCCTGTGATATTGAATCGTACTGCCGGCTTATGATACCAATGCAGTAAGGGTGATAACCCAAAACTTAGAATCCAATACTTCCAAGTATATTTAATATTGTCATATGTTGGTGACTTATCATCGAAAGCCAGGCCGGATTAATAGAAACCACGAGTATGCTTCAAATATGAGCTGTGAGAATTAAGGCTACATGGCCTGAATCACTTGAAACCCGAAGGCAAGAGAGTATCAAAAAAAACCAAAAAGTTGTTCAAAAATTCAAACCAAAAAGAGAGAAAAGACGAGGCTAGGCTTCGAATACGAGCAGGAAGCCGGACCAAAAATGGCTATGATTCGAATACGATCAGGAAGCCGGACCAAAAGGGTTAATGACTATGATTCGAATACAATCAGGAAGCCCCCAAGTGGTTTGTGGCATTGCGCCGATCAAAGGGGTACCGA